AATAATAAGGAACTACAGATACACACACGGCAAAATCTCAGAAGCATTTTGCTGATAAAGAGCCTTATACAAGGCTTCACTTTTGATTGCATTTAGGCAAAACTAGTCTAAATCTTTGAGAAAGGAGGGCAAGAATGGTCTAGGAAGAGTCACAGGGTAACTGGTTAGGTGATAGCAATGTTCTCTGTGTTTTGCCAAATTTCATGGTATGCCTATTTGAACACTTTAAAGGTTTATTAACACATTAATCTTCAAAACCTGTAAATATTGAGATTATTGATGCAGGTTTTTAGGGAAGCACACTGATATGTCCAATTTAAAAATTGATGGGAAGGACTGGTTCTCCTAGAATAATTGGTACGGAGCTAAGAAGTTTATTTACAGGACGATACTCAGGGCTTTATTGTCATCCTAATGCTCAACAGACCTTACTTTCCCATGTGAGGACTTCTCTTCAACTGGCTTTTAATAAGCCAAATACAAGTTTTAGGTGCAGATGAATTTAATGCATCTAACAAGGACCCATAAAAATGGAGGTTGCTCCAGCGATCTGGGCCCATGTCACTAATCTAAACCTGTCAGAGGTTTAGATGCACTTAGAGCAAACCTAATACACCAAACAATCCAATTCAGCTTTACCTCCCATACCCTAGAAAATAAGACCTTATAGCCAACAATATACACCTTTCTGCACATCTTCCAATTCTATGAAACTCAGTCACGCTTCAAACCCCCCAGAAACAGAGCCTCCACTGTTTTGAGGCCCTGCACTCCAATCCATGGGGTGTCTTCCTTTGAAAAAAGGACAAGTCACTACATTTTTAGTTTTAACAAGTACACCAGGAGTCAGATGTACATAGAACAGTCAATAAAAGCAGAGTTGTCAACACAAAGTACATTAATTAATCACATGGTGCTGGGTTTAAACAGAATTGCTAAAGGCCCAAATTGGGATTTCCTACCAAACTGAGCTAAAATGGACTGGTTTTTTCCAAGAGTTACGCAGAAGCACCAGAGTACATCTTTGGTCTTTCAATTTCTAGTTCTTTGATGTCCTTGCTCCCATTCACCTATGCAGGGATAAAGATCTTAAAGGCAATCACCTCAAGATCTACACCTGAAGCTCTCTCCCCTAATAAAGGGGGCCTAGTCACAAAACGGGCCACCTCGATGACTGTTCTATGGCAACTGCTCAAAAGTGCCCTCACTGCATGAGAAGTAGAGTTTGGGGAGGAGGACATATGGAGACCATACTGAAAAGTCTGAAGTCCTTATTACAAAAACTAAAAAGAAAAAGAACCCAGGGGTCACAAAAAAATGCAGGTTAAGTTTTATTAAGTTTCAAATACAAAACATTCCAAAAAGAGAAAAGTGATCTATAATATCTACGTTCTATAATCAACTACCAGTTAAACAAAACATTTTATCATTCTGTCTTACAACCAGTATAAAGCCAGAAGAATGAAGACGGATTCTTTCTTTTTCCAATGGGAGAGTAAGTCTGCTGGGTCAGTAAACTTTGCCAAATAGCCGAATAGTCGTTTAGGTATGCTTAATTCGAATTTAATAGTTTATGTTTACTATGATTAATTTCTATGTTCTACACTATTTTCAAAATATCTAAAAATCTCCAAAGCCAAAGTCATCAGAAGCACAATCCCAAGTAGTTTACATTATTGGAGGATTGAGGAAGACAGCTATGTAAGTGCAATAGCTACTTAAATTTGGTCAATACCCTCATCATGATCTGCAATTACAAGAGCCTGTCCAATGAGGGTTACAATTTTTGGACTATTTCCTACAATTGCCAAGATTAAACATGATAAGCACGGATTTTACTATGAAAACAAAAATCTCAGAAGTTTTCGTACTTCGTTCTAACGCAACAACTCAAATCCAGTTCCTCTGAGAACATTAGCTTTTTATATATACTCAGCTTGGTCTTCAACATGACTGGTTTGCTTCCAAGACAGGTGGTGGGGTTATAGCAGGCTTACAAAACAATACTTAAAAGCCAAGTGGCCCAATTTTGTTTCCAGTCATTTTAGCTATGTTTCCAGTTACTTTAGGTTCCAGACACTACTCCTCCCCTTCTTTTATGAGTGAACCCCACTTCTGGGTAAACTACAAATATTCCACTTGCTGAAAAATCCGTTTACTGGATAAAGAGTTACCACTCATGCCTTTCATTTTTCTACTTCAACTTTCTGACAGTGATAATTAGGAATTGCAGAGTTGTCCCCTAGGACTTTAACAAAATGAAAGCCAAGCTGTAAAATCCACATAAAGAATCACAAGAACTTACTACCTCCACTTACCAATTTCCTTAACTGCTCCCCTTTATCTGGTCAATTACTTTTTTGAAGTAACTACCACTCCCTAGTTAAGTGCTAACCAACACTGATGCCTTCCCTCCTTAGATCCACAGGAACCCTCGAAGGCAAAAATCTATTGCCTGCACCAAACCAATTCTGATGAGTACTGCTTATGCAACTGTTGTGCCTTATCGACAATCAGCATTCTTCTGCTTCAACAACTCTGTAAAATGAAAAGCATGTGATCAGGTCACAAGACATTGTTTTATACTGGAAATCACTCCCCCTCCCCACCCATTCTTTATATACTTTTTTGTTGCTTTAACTGGCAACAAAACATTCGCTTTAAATTACAAGCTCTAAAATGCAACCAAAAACACTCATTACAATTCCTGCATCACTTTGGGTAATACTGAGTATAACTACATCATGCCAACAACGTTACTCCAAGTGGGAACTGAGAACAGTGGCATCTGTTATCCCATTACTCAATTTGTACTACGGCTGAAGAGGCACCGTTAATAAAAAGGGTATCCTCATAAAATGCACGGAGTCAAGTTGAAACCTCATGCAAGTGCAGTTTGTTCACATACCAAAACAAACTGTACAGCTCCAATCAATCTCTGCTTATGGGGACTGTATTAAACAAGCTTTATACATTCAAAAATAGCTAATAAAGGGGATTAAGAGGTACAAACTTCCAGTTACAGGATAAATAACTCAGTTGGAAAGTACACCCTAATATAGAAAAAAATGCTAATATTCTATGACTGAGCCGCTAATGGAAACATACCTGTTTAAGATAACCTTGCCCTACATTCTAATGGATAACGCACCAAGTGTTACACATTACAGCACCTAATTTTATCCTAATCCACAAGATTATACCCCCTTCAGAGAAATTTACAAGTATCAGATATGCAAAATGGAAAAGCTACTAAAGCTATTATTACTTACACCTATAAAGGCCACGGCTTTTGAAACTTACCTTAGCATTTGATTTCTCTTGCTGCCAGCTTTATCTAGTATGAATATATCAGCACTCCAACCATAATGACCAAAATCCTCAACCTGTAAAAATTAAATAGGTAACTAGTTATCTCCCTTAAAGGAAATTCTTCAAAACTTGCCTACAACTGCTCTTTTCCAGAAAGAAAAGGCAAGTTCAGACTTGCAGCTTAACGTTATTTCATGTTCTACTAATTCTCAAAGTGGTGGAAGATTCACTGGCTTGGGATGGACTGGAATGGCTTAAAATGGTTTAAGTTGCATGGCTTATGGATTCTCATTCTGTTCCAATGGTGCACTGCCATGTTAAATCCATAAGTTGAACGGACAAAACTTATTTGAAGGAATAAGTGCAGTGTAAGGATTTTAGTTGGAGGTCTTCAAGTTTACTATATTCAAGAGCATCTTTTTCAACTTCATGGCTGGACCTGGGTCATGCTGCCTCAGGTTTTGCTTTTAAAAGACCACTTGCAATAGATTTTCTCCATACAGTGTAGTTTCATAGAACTAAAAACAAGTCAGGCATCCAACTAAATGTCAAGTTTGCAATGGCTTACAGGGGCAGAGTGTGACCCCAAACTTAAGCCATTTCCTAAATTGACTAAAAGGCTATTTTGAAAAATGTTAAAACATATGAAGCATGTTTAAAGGTCTTCATCAAAAATACTTTAAAAAAAAAAAGACACCCCCTCCCAAGCCCCAGATCGCTATTGGTAAACAACAGCTGTTATTATTAAGGCCTTTAAGTGTCATACATGCTTTAAAAAAAAAATCCATGTGTTGAATTTGGAGGACTTCTAATATGCTATCGAACACTTTGCTTTTCCAAAGTTTTTTTTTTAATCTAGAAAGCATTTCCATTGCCATGAGGTACAGTATGTCTCACTGTACTATGAGGAAGGTAAGTGTTCAATCTCGACTTAGACGGAAAAACTAGTTTGCTTTGCTTACCATCTTTGCTGTTTCACAGGCATTTGATGCTTTAAATCTGATGTGGAATGCTGATAGATTCACTTTTTAGAAGTCATAAGCCTTTGAGAAGTTGGAGATAACTTCATTGCTTATCTATTTTCTCCTTTGCAATCAAGCTGTTCCTTAAAAGTGAGACACTACAGAGTTGCAAAAATTTGAAACAGTAAGAGCAAGCACCGTTTGCAGCTTCATGGTTGGTTTTGGCCAAACTTTTTATTTAGTATTCTGTAGTTGCTTAACACACACTTAAATGGTCTTATTGGGGGAGGGGATAGGGGAGGTTCTTGTAGATTCCCAAGGAAATGTCAGAAAGGCAAAATATGGCCAGCATTATCCATTTGCTTTTTTTGGATTTACTGGGTGAATAGCACTTTCCTTACATAAGCATCTGATCTCAGGTTTTTCATTACTGAGAACATTGAGATTTCAGTTTGAAGACACTCTGAAATCCTAAGAGTAGCATACCCCGACCACCCTCTAATAGCTAGCTTGTTTGTATAGGCAGAAGGATTCACCTCTCCATTTTAGAAGGCTAGATGTTTGTGGAAGGTCTTAGAATTGCTTTGCCTCATTTACTGGGAAAAATCAGATATAGGAAGTGGCCTTTAGGGACACTTTTAACTTGAAAAATTACAACACTAGTACACAAGTCAAGTCTTAACACATTTAACATTTGCTTATTGAAAGCAATGTCATAAAGTCAAATAAGATTAAACAGGTTTTACTTTTTTCCCTCACAAGAACATAAAAATTATGGAAGGGGAACTTAACAAGAAATTTAAAAAAGATAACACAATTTTTCCTTTTAGTAGTCCTTGGGTAGTTATGACAGAAAAGGTTCCACTTTTTTGTTTGTTTTCTTTGAACGGGGATTTTGGTCCAAAGTTTTGTTTTGTTTTTAATATCTGCTTCTGCCTCCCCCTCTATCAGATCGGCTTCCTCCACGGCCACCACCTCTTGGTGCTCCGCGGCTTGAACTGCTGTAGGAATCACGCGGAGGAGGGTACCCCCTTTCCATAGAAGGGGGAAGCCCTCTTTCTTGTCTGCCAACCCGATCACGACCACTTGAGTAGAGATCACTTCGGCTGCTTGAGTAACTGTCTCGACTTCCACCATATCCGTCACGTGAGCTGCTGTAATCATCATAGCGACTGCTTCCACCATAAGATGGCGGGGGCCCTCGTGTAGGTGGAGCACTACGTGAGTTACCTGCAGGGTCAATGGTCAGGTAATATGGCAACACTATAAATTGTATATATACAACATTTAAATCTGAATTTACAGAATTCTTGTATTAAACGTTTACTTTAACTGGGAGGTTTTAAACTCTGCCATTGCTGGCCATTAACAGGGATTTGCTCATCTGCTGAGATACGGAAATTGGATGGGTTTTAATGTTTGTTTGAAAAGATTGAAGACGGTGTGTATTTCAAGAGGATATTCCAGACAGCTTGTTATTTTATAGTAGACACTCAGACACTTTCCAGTGATAAGTTGCAATTTTGAACTGTAGACTTTCCTTCATATTGCAATGGTAAACATTTGATCTTGTTAATAAAATTTTTAAATTGTATTTTCACTGTTGGGGGAAAACACATAAGGCTGCCAATTTAAGCAAGCAAAATCCCCTCCAAAGCAAGCAAACAGCCTCAAAAAAAAAAACTTAGAAAAAAACAAAAGCCCCTCACGAAACTAGGAAAAGCCCAGCTGATAACGTTACCCCTTAAAAGCAAGCAAATATCCCTTAAAAAGCAAGCACCACACAGCCTAATAAAGTGGCTCATGAACCTAAAAACTCAAGCTGGTGATATTCAAAGACCCTCAATCAGTATCTTACCATAACTCTCATATGAATCTCTGTAGGAACCTCCACTTGGATGATCTGAATAGTCACGATCACGACCATAGCCATCTCTATCACTAAAGAGAAAAACTTGTTAAGTCACAGGGCAATTTTCAGAGCAATTTTATCTTTTACAGCCAGCTGTGACAGGCAACAATATTACTTTACCTATAGCCTCTTGATGGGTAGTCATCACGTGAACTGGAATGACCATAATCACGGTAAGTATAATCTCTTGGTGGTGGTGCATAATCTCTTGTATCACGAGAACTTGGGTAATCTCTGCTTGAATAGCTACAAAAACAAAAAAATAACTTGGTTCACGCTTTTGACAAGTTCCCCTTTCAACCTCAAATATCTACTACTACACTTGTCTGTTACCTGTCTTTAGTAGAATATCCATCATCTCTTGGGGACAAATACACATCTCTACGAGAGGGCAGGGGTTCCCTTCGAGGTGGGCCTCCATAACTATCTCTTCCACGTGACACAGGAGCTTAAGGGAAAAAAATTAACCATTTAAAAAATATATCCAAAAATGGAAAGCTAAAATATGAATTTGCATTCAGGCATTGAGGGCAGAGATTCAAATAGGACAGTACAACTAAATCAATAAGTTTCTTTAAAATTTCCTATTCACAAATCAATTCTTTTCAGTGCTTGTAACTTTATGTACCTAGATCACACCTCAAGTCCATGAGTCCATTTCATTAACATTTTTATACTTAACAATTAATTAGGTTTTTAATTTTAAAGCATCATTTTTTAAAATTCACTAATCAATCTTTTCTGTTATGGTGGTAGAACATATTATTCAATAAATCTAGCACTTACCTCTTCCTCCCATTCCACTGCTGCTGCGAACTGGTCCTGAAGGGGCAGATCTTTTAGGAGGAGGACCACCACTTCGTGGTGGTGGTCCTCTTTTTACTGGAAGTGGTCCCCTGGAAGAACTCATGTTAAAATTCATGGAATAGCCACCATCATCTGCATTGAAAAAGAAAAGAAAAACATGTTAATTCTCACATCAATGAAAGTCATAAAAGTTTCCTTTGCTGTATCAATGACCATTTTGCTTAGTTGGGAAATCTTGCTTTAATTTGCACTTGTCCAAGGGAATCTATATAGACTAACAAAACTAATAGTAGTCTAAGCTCCTTCAAAAAATGGTTTAATTCTTATACACTTAAAATATGTGTTCTGAGAAGTTTTCTGCAAACTTCTTTCACAAACTACCCATATAAGTTGGTTTTCTATGGTTTTAGTTTTTAATATTTAAGTAATCCCAGTGTGGGACTCAAACTCATGACCTGTGATTAAGTTGTCAGCCAGGCTCTGGTCCATTTTTTTAAACACTAATTTGACTTAGGTAAATGATAAAGGAGTAGGTGTGCTCAATATCAAAAGCTGGAGAATTTGTACCAGGACACAACACCAACGCAGATCGATGTGGAGTTTGCAGTTCATAAATTCTACAAGCCTGTAGTAGACTCAAGTCATTACCCATGTGCCCTCCACGTGAAGGAGGTCCCCTGGTTCCTCCACTTCCTCCTCTTCCGCCTCTAAGACCTCTTGGAGGGCCTCTGCTTCTTGGAGGTGGAGGTGGTCCACGTCTACCACTTTCAAATGATGGTTTTGTGGCTTGTTCTACCTTGATGGCTTTTCCATCTAAGGACTAAACATCAAAGTGGTTAATTGCATTAGTATTTAAAGAGATCTCGCAGATATATTCACTATGCATTGTGCCACCAATGTGCCCTCCAAATTCAAGTTTTTAGGTAAATTTAGCTCATCAACTAATCTGAGAAAAGTGATAAAAATATATGGTCACTTTTCCATTGAAAGTTTTTTTTGGGGGGGGGGGCAAGTATCTTAGAACAATACTGATCAGTTGAACCCCAACATAAGGTGACTATCACACTGCTGGTCAATAAAGTTTAAAGAGCCAGACAGTCAACTTGTTATCAAATGTGATAACCGAAGAAAAGCCAGGTTGTCAACTCATTTTATGGATTCCAGATAACAATCAGATAATTTTCTGATTTGAAAACACTTAAAAGAGTATAATCCACAACTTCCCAAAATTTGAAACTACAAAGGGCGAAAATTAGAGGGTTCTGGAAAGGCATACATTCAAACACAACTCAAGACCTACCCTAGACCAAACTTCAATAACAGCATTAAGTTAATGCATTAAGAAACTTCCATTGTGCAATCTCACCTTTCCATTCATGTCTCTGGCTGCATCCTTAGCGTCTGCTGGGCTCTCAAAGGTGACAAAAGCAAATCCTCTTGATTTGTTGGTTTCACGATCTTTCATCAATAGAACTAAAAAAAAAAAAAAACCAGGTTTTTTTTTGGGGGGGGGGGTGTTACTCTAGTTCGAATTAGGTAAGACAAGTGCACCTACAAAATGTAAGCTCAGAACTTCTTAGAGGACAAAATAATGTATCATTTCAGACAATCAACGCAATTAAATACATCACAGCTTACATTTTAAATTCTAACAGCTCCCTATATAGTTTCAGATAACTCACCTTCCACTATTCGTCCATATTTGCCAAATACTGCTTCAAGGGCTTTTTCATTTGTTTCCGTATTGAGGCCACCAATGAAAAGCTTTCCTGGGCGATCTGCTTCAACCATTTTTCCCCCTGGTGAGAGTCTGTTGAAAAAGAATAGTATTACCTCCCTATAAAAAGTTCAAGTTCACAGGACACACCTATTTACTGGTACATCTTTCTTGTTTTACTAAAATCATCATTCGTTTTCTAAGTCTCAGCAGGAAACCAATTTAAGTAGTTTACGGATACAGCAGTTTACACTAAACTAGTTAAAAAGGGCCAGCTTCGCTAATGCCTTCATCCTTAATCCACCTCGGCAATTTTAATAAAGCAACAGCCACTCAGCATTTGAAAAAGCCATTTTAGTTTAATCCTAGATGTGTTTCCTTTTAAAGATTCAATTATCACATCCCAATCACCCTAATGGTTTTTTAAAAGTGCATCGCCTCATTCAAGGTCACAGACCAGACGCAAGTCCTCTTCCAAGACCTTTGCCTTTTCTCATTAGGATTCCCTAGTAAATCTAAAGAGAAATTTAAAGTTTGCGCCAAGTTATACCTCCTCTTCTTTAGCAGCCCCTGCCCCGCCGAAAAGGTTTAAAAGAAAAAAAAAAGGTCTCAGTCTCGTTTCATAATAACGGAAGGTGGAAGCGCGCATCGTATCACTCAACACTCCGTGACTGCAGCAGAATCCAATTAAAACCCGTCATTAAAAACCGCGTGGAAAACACAAAATGGCGACACTTGGATTCAACCCAGAAAAACCCACACCGGTCAGGGGAGTAACTTTTGCCATCAGCAGTGGTTGGGAAAATTCAAAGGGCTTCCTTTCCAAGGCCGCCAATGAACAAGGACCCGCGTAAAAGCGCACGTGCCCATCCGTAGCGCCAGCGCCATCCCAATGCAGGTACCGCGGCGGTCTGCCCTCGTCCTGTTCCAGCCCCGACCTCGGGCACCAACCCCGCAGGCGGACAGCCAAACTTTCTCGAGAGGCACCGAACGGAATGGCGCTCCCACGTCTGTTTTCCCCGGACGTGCTCGGCTTCAACGAAATAGGTCGGCACCTTTAGGCTCTTAAAATGGCGCCCGCCACCCCCATCTCCAGGGAGATAATCCCAAGTTGTAACGTGGCAAGAAGGTACGAGAAACGGGTGAAGGAAAGAGTAACACGTACCGGAGGGGTGACGACCGTTCCAAGCTCCTATGAGCTCGCCGGCAGGGGCTTCGTAGCAGCTCAGCACGAGTGAGAGCCACCGGCTCTGAGAGCGGAAGAGGGAAGCCGCTAGCACTACTGCGCAACGAGGGCGAACAAAGGAGACAGCAAACTTTATACTGCCCGGGAACGAGGCTGAAGGACCCGGATGGAAACCGAGCTTAGAATTTGAAACGCAAAGGGAGGGGGAGCGGTTCCCAGCCTCCCATTGGCCGTCCTCTCTGTCACTCACTCCTTGCTCCTCCCCTTTCCCCAGGCCCTCCGCGTTCTGGCCGGCGCCCGTTTCTAACCGATTCCCCAGCCCCCACCCGTGCTCCACAAACCCGCGTTTTTGCTTTCCGCTAGAATGGTTCACGGGCTGCATTTAATTCCGAACTGAAATTTATTGCATAGTCTAGGGGGCCAGACACGGTGCTGAACTTTACACCCATGAACTCATTTAATGCTCAAAACAATGTGATGAAGGTACAGAGTCCTAACTATGCTAATTTTGCATAAAGGGGAAACAAAGAAGTTTCGATAATAAAATACATCTTCCCAAATATCCTCAACAAGAATTTTTACTGAATGGGGAAAATTCTGGTGAATGAATATGACTTGGGGGGGAGTACAGATAGTTACTTCATATAGAACAATTACTGAACACCTACAAATAAAAGGCAGGATCTGGGCTTGGCTGTAAGGATGCAACGCAGAACAAGTGAGACAAGGACAAGGCACGCACTTCGAAGGTAAAACTACCAAATTTGGCAAATAAAATATAGAACGCCCGGTTAAGTTTGAATTTCAGATCAATTGTTTCACTCTATGTATGTCTCAAAATGATACACAAAAAAAGTTCTCGTTTAATTCAGATTTAACTGGGCATTGTGTATTTTATCTGTGCCAATCTACTCGTGTTGGAGGGATTACAAAAATTTAAAATTTTTCTAATTTAAAAACTTACGAAAATATTTTAATACAAATAACAAAACAATATGTGTTGTAATTAGTGCTACGGAGGAAGTAAACTAGGTGCTTGGGTGGACAATGTATGGGAGACTCCGTTTCATTTTAGACGTCACATCAGATCTGAATGGAGAAAAACTAGCCATGGGAAAGCTTTTCAGGGAGAGAGAGAGCATTAAGCAGAAAGTGGAGGAAAGAGTGTGCACATATCAAGAGACAGAAAGAGATCCAGGGTGACAGGAATTTCAGGAGAATAAAGAGAGGGAGCCAAGGAGGTAGATAGAATCTTCGAACCCATTAAAAGACTGCAAAGGGTTAAGTGTGAAAGCAGGGGTACCCCTGGGGCTGTGCCAACAGACTTGGAGAGGATAGGGACTTGAATTGGGGTGGTGGCAGTGGAGATAGGGAGGAAGGAACAATTGTTAGGCATATGTGGCAGATAGTGTAGACAGAATTTGCTAATGGATCAGATGGGAAAGGGCTAGGATGGAATTAAGGCATCAGAAGTCAGTATGGATGACTAAGTAAGCATCTGGCATAAATGGTGTGGTGGCTACTTACCAAAATGTTTGCAGTGGAGCAAGTTTGGGATGGGGACATGGAAAAATTTGATGCTTAGAGATCAGGGCTAAATTGTCGCTTACAAATGATAATGCAACAATGAAACCACCAGAAAAGAGAACACTGGGGAAAGAAAGCTTAAGATCACACCTTATTTTTTTAAAGATTTTATTTATTTATTTGAGAGAGCCTGGGCGCGTGCACGAGCAGGGGGGAGGAGCAGAAGGAGAGGGAGAAGCAGGTTCCCAGCTGAGCAGAGAACCCCAGGTGGAGCTGGATCCCAGGACACTGGGATTATGACCTAAGCTGAAGGCAGATGCCCAGCCAATTGAGCCACAAAGACGCCCCAAGATCACACATTATTAACTATAAAATAGGTAGAGGGAGAGAAGCAACCAGAAAGAAATCTACTAAAATGTTACCAGTTTATCTTGGCGGGAGTAGGATCTTTTGACAATTGTTACTTTTCTTCTTCACAGTTATAATTACTCTGCCCATGGTGTATTACTGTGTATATCAGGCAGGTGGTAGTTAATAATGTTCAGGTCAGGGATCCCTGGGTGGTGCAGTGGTTTGGCGCCTGCCTTTGGCCCAGGGTGTGATCCTGGAGACCCGGCATCGAATCCCACATCGGGCTCCCGGTGCATGGAGCCTGCTTCTCTCTCTGCCTGTGTCTCTGCCTCTCTCTCTCTCTGACTATCATAAATAAATAAAAAATTTTAAGAAATAGTGTTCAGGTCACGGGTAAAAAACCCCAAGGAGTTTTTTTTTTTTATGATAGGCACACAGTGAGAGAGAGAGAGAGAGAGAGAGAGAGAGAGAGAGAGAGGCAGAGACACAGGCAGAGGGAGAAGCAGGCCCCATGCACCGGGAGCCCGACATGGGACTCGATCCTGGGTCTCCAGGATCGCGCCCTGGGCCAAAGGCAGGCGCCAAACCGCTGCGCCACCCAGGGATCCCCTGTTTGTTTTTTTTAAATTTTTATTTATTTATGATAGTCACACACACAGAGAGAGAGGGGGGCAGAGACACAGGCAGAGGGAGAAGCAGGCTCCATGCACCAGGAGCCCGACGTGGGACTCGATCCCGGGTCTCCAGGATCGCGCCCTGGGCCAAAGGCAGGTGCCAAACCACTGCACCACCCAGGGATCCCCTCCCAAGGAGTTTTTGGAACCAGCTCTGAATTATTGACATTACTGAAGGGAATAGTACTCAGTAGGGCAAGAATATTTGTTCCTTTATTTCCTAGTCAAATAATGACAAATAAAGCAAAAGTCCTGTCCATTTGTCTTCAGGATGAGTTATGTAAATTACTGTCTGTGGTGATAGTTGGGAATTGGCTAGGCTGGCAAAAAACACTTAAATGCCAGGCTCAGCAAGCAGTCTGCACCCCCAGGAGGAGTCAGGAGAAATCCCTCCCCCTGGATTGACAGGCAATCTCTGTCTCAAATCCCTAGGCTCTAATTCTCAGCCAGGCCTCCGCCAGTTTAGGGCAGAACGGGGCCAACTCTACAATAAATGTGCCTTTCTCCCTGGGTTTCAAAGAGGGAAATGTGCATCTATGTGGACCATATCAGTCTGGTCGTTGCAATTAGTGCCCAGGAGTATGGGGGTAGAGACAGGACTTCCAAGGACAAGAGGCCAGAGTGGGAACAGCGGGAGGGTTAGTTGAGAGAATGGCAGGAGGGCATCGATATGGCTATAGTGCATCTTAGGACAGAGAGGACAAAAGAAGAAACTGGAGAGGGAGATGCAGGGCCTACTGACTAGATCCAGGTAGCAATGAAAAGGGGAGCCTTTTTAAGAGGAGGAAGGAGATAATCAGATTTCATCTTAAAGAGATCACTGTGGCTGCTACCTGGAGACTATATTAGGGGAGGGAGGAACAGGAAGCAAGGTATTACTGATGTAATTCTGGCAAGGAGAGATGGGCCAACTGAGTGTGAGCAAATCTGGCCAAGGGACAGTCCTCAGAGAAGCAGGTCTCACAAGGCCCAAAAATAATCTCTGAAACCCACCCCTCCCCCTCATGGATCCTCTAGATTTTTCCCTTTGTTTCTTTATTTCTACTTCCTCCTTTGGATTATCATTAAATATAGTTGAATGTTCTCTTTACTATTATTTTTCCCTTGGTCTGGTTGTTTCTCTCCAGATGCCATCTCAATGATGGACTGATAGACAGTCAAGCAATATTACTTCACCATTAGTTATCCTTGAATATGATCAGTGCCAAATAAATGTTGGCTGAATGACTTGCAGGCTCTTTTTATTCTCCATGGCACTTAGTTGTTTTTTTTTTTTGTTTGTTTGTTTGATTTATGATAGGCACACAGTGAGAGAGAGGCAGAGACATAGGCAGAGGTAGAAGCAGGCTCCATGCACCGGGAGCCCGACGTGGGATTCGATCCCAGGTCTCCAGGATCGCGCCCTGGGCCAAAGGCAGGCGCTAAACCGCTGCACCACCCAGGGATCCCCCTCCATGGCACTTAGTATGAGATGGGTGCATAACAAGTATTTAATGAATACTATGGTCTTGTCTTAAATTTCAACCTCCCTGTGAAGGGCTCACATTTTTTTTTTTACTACAACAACCAACAACAAAAAGCGCTCCATAGGGATCCCTGGATCCCTATGCTCAGCGATTTGGTGCCTGCCTTCTGCCCAGGGCATGGTCCTGGAGTCCCAGGATCGAGTCCCACGTTGGGCTCCCTGCATGGAGCCTGCTTCTCTCTGCCTGTGTCTTTGCCTCTCTCTCTCTGTGTGTGTGTCTCATGAATAAATAGATAAAATCTTTTTAAAAAAAGCACTCCATAGTTTTAAAATCTTCAAGCAATTGAATGATTAAGAAATAACTCAATTAAAAATTGTATTTAAAAATCTTTAAATATTTTATTTATTTATTTGAGAAAGAGAAAGCACAAGCAGGGGGAGGGACAGAGGGAGAACCAGGCTCCGCATTGAGCAGGGAACCCAATGTGGGGCTCCATCCCAGGCCCCTGGGATCATGACCTGAGCTAAAGGCAGACACTCAACCAATTGAGCCACCCAGACATCCCCCCCCCAAAAAAACTCTTATTTTTTTAAAGATCTTATTTATTCATGAAAGGCAGAGACACAGACAGAGGGAGAAGCAGACTCCCCAGAGGGAGCCTGATGCGGGACTCGATCCCAGGTCTCCAGGATCACACCCTGGGCTGAAGGTGGCACTAAACCGCTGAGCCACCTGGGCTGCCCAAAACTCTTCTTTTAAAGAAGAAACTTCCATTATCAAATTAAGCCTACTCTGAGATGAGTAAATTGAAGCTCTCTGGGCAGGCTTGCATTTTTACATGAAGGGCAGATGTAAGGTCTCTCTGCATCCACTTGTGCCTGTTTTCCCAATGACAGAAAGATATCCTGCCACATGTTCTAAAAACTTGTTATCTTATGTCAAGTAAGGAGGAAGGGAGGGAAGAATTTTATGTGATTAAAGATTGGGAGACTTTCCAAACCACTTAAAGTAGCCACTGTCCAGAAGATAGCCAACTTAGCGATGATAAGCAAGGAACAAAAACTTTTTAAACCAAAGTATAGCTCTAGTATCTTTTTTTAAGGGTTTTTTTTTAAAGATTTCATTTATTTATTCATGAGAATACACAGAGAGGAGAGAGAGAGAGAGGCAGAGACAAAGGCAGAGGGAGAAGCAGGCTCCATGCAAGGAGCCTGATGTGGGACTCGATTCTGGGTCTCCAGGATCACGCCCTGGGCTGTAGGCAGCGCTAAATCGCTGAGCCACCGGGGCTGTCCTAGCTCTAGTATCTTTATAGAAACTGGCTGATGGGACGCCTGGGTGCCTCAGCGGTTGAGCGTTTGCCTTCAGCCCAGGGTGTGATCCTGGAGTCCCAGGATGGAGTCCCGCATTGGGCTCCTACATGGAGCCTGCTTCTCTCTCTGCCTATGTCTCTGCCTCTCTCTCTGTGTGTGTCTCATGAATAAATACATAACATCTTTAAAAAAAAAAAGAAACTGGCTGAAGGAATGAAGATCCAATTCTACTGGACCTTTCTCCACAATGAAGGAGATAATGAGGTTTGTTTTTTTTTTAACCACCACTGAGATCTCATTTATTGCCACAGATGCACAAAATAAATAACCCAACATCACAAAACGTGTTAAATATGGGCCCATTTATACATATGTGGAAAGATGTGAAGCTATATACAAGTATGAGTTTGGGGTCTGGGCCATTCCCAGGTGGAGGAAAGGAGAGGTAGCACCATTTGTTCCTTACTGTGAGCATGTGCAGAGGGAGCCCTAACAAGGTCCCAAAGGGGAACAGGCTATGAGCTTAGGAAGCAGTCACCATGGAGTAGGGCTGGCCTGTCCCCTCCTAGAGGACACTGGAGCCAGGCCAGAAACCAGAGCCCTAGAGCTGTGGAGGAGGACCAGGCCCATCTGGAGAGGAGGCGAGGTGGGGGCCGGGAGAAAACTGCTGCGAGTACCCATCCTGTCTACCCGGTGGCCAGGGCTGGTGTGCTGGGTAGGGATCAGGTGGGAAGGAGGGAGGGGACAGGTGGATGTGCTCCCGGGAGGGAGGGGGGCTCCCTGGCACAGGAGGAAGCCTCCTGGTGGTGGGGTGGTGGGGTGGCGTGGCATGGGCGTGGCGGGTACAGAGCAGCGGGAAAACACGCTCCCCCACCGGGCCCGGCCCCTGGAAGGCGAAGAGTAGGTCTAGGGAGCGGGCGTCAGAGAAGGCTACGCGGCCCCGCTCCCAGTCAAGGTCTATGCGGATGCGCCACGGCAGGGGCCCGGCGCCACCCAGCGGGGTGGGGTCAGGGGCGGTGAGGGCCCACAGGTGGCCGCCGCGGTCCTCCACAGCCCACACGGCCCCCGCGGCCCTTGCGGCACAGCGACTCCCCGGCGGCGCCCAAGGCGTAGTGGCCCTTGGCTTCATCCTCGTCCTCTTGTCCTCCCCAGAGGAGTCTGGGCCGCAGGCGGCATCCGCGGTCTCCACCTCTCAGTAGTGCGGACCAGCCCCAAAGCCCTGTGTGCCCAGTACGGGCCAGGAGCTGATCAAAGCGCGCAGGACCATGGGGGGGCGGGGCGCGGGGGTGGGGGGGGGGCTAGTTGGACACTGCGGTGGTCCGCGGAGACAAGTAGGGGGCGGTGTGCAGTGCCCGGGTCCAGGGTCAAATCCGCTGCCAGTCTGTGGAGCATGTTTTTGACCACTGGATAGTTTTCGGGGAGGTCATCATCTGAGTTAGATGACTTGGGTGTTGGGACATCAAATCTCCTCCACGTCTTCCTTACATCCTCTCCGCTCGGGTCCAGGCAGCCCATTGTGGGGATGCGGCCCCCTCGGCGCCGGAGATAATGAGTTTTAACCAAATTTAATACTTGATTAAAAGGAACTGAAGTATGTCTGAGGAAACATTTCAAATGATGGGATGGAGAACGATGGCTTTTGCAATAAATTGTATTGAGGCACTTAGCCATTTGAAGGGGGGGAAATCTGAATTCCCACCATATTTTTTGCTCTGGAATAAATTCCAGCTTAAAGGTTTTTTTTTTTTGTTTGTTTGTTTGTTTGTTTGTTTTCAGCTTAAAGGTTTTTTTAAAAAAAATTATTTAGCCATGAGAGACACACAGAAAGAGGCAAAAACACAGGCAGAGTAAGAAACAGGCTACCTGTGGGGAGCCGGATGCAGGACTCCATCCCAGTACCCCAAGATCATGACCTGAGCCAAAGGCAGATGCTCAACCACTGAGCCACCCTTGTGCCCCTAGCTCAAAGATTTAAGCGTAAAAGGTAGAACCATAGAAGTAGTAGAAGAAAAATGGGTAGGTGCTTTTATCATCTGGTCAGAAAGACCATCCATCTATTCATTTATATGCTTCGCAAATACTCATTCAAACACAGTGTCTATTCTGTGCCAGCACTGTCTTAGGTGCTAGGACAGCATCACTGAACAAAAGGCTAAGAGTGCCTGCCGATCTGGAGCTAACATTTCAGTTACAGGGAAAGACAGTAAACAATCTAAATCAATCAATCCATCAGTGTGTTTGAAGTTGAAAAGTGCTACGTAAGAAATAGAGTGAGGAAGGAAGGTCTGGAGTATGGAATGAAAGGATGCAACATTGAAACGGTGGATCACAATGGGCTCCATTAAAGTAATATTTGAAGCAAAGATAAAGAAGGGAGTAAACCGTGTGGATATCTGAGGGAAAGTATGCTAGAAAGATGGAAGCCTACCAGCCATGTTGTTTTTGTGGGACCCAAGAAATTAAGAAAATGTCCCCCACCCCGGCCCCTAGATAAGCACGCCCTGAGGCCTGTAGCCCAAGACAGTTCCAAGAAAAACCGCAGAGCACGTCCTATATTGGAATGAGGAACTAAGAGCTTGAGAAACTCCCCCACCCTTACTGGAAATCCCCTAGACCAGCCCATAAAAACCCAGCTATAACCCACCTCGGGGTCCAAGTCCCTGCTCCGCTGTGACGGGTATACTTGGACCCAAGCTCGAGCTTGCTAATAAACCCTCATGTGCTTGCATTGGTGTTGGCTCCTTGGTGGTTTCTCGGATTCGCAATCTTGGGCACAACATTTGGGAGCTCGTCGGGGATCTGAAAGACCCCCAGGACCCCACCCGGAGGGTCCCATGCCTGGTGAGTGCACTCAACTTTTTCTACCTTTTGCGCACATATTTTCTGAGAGTTCCATGCTGTATTTCTACCTGTAGGAATTCCAAACTGTTTTAGGTCAACATTGGCTTAGGCGGACGCGCTGGCAAGCTGTCAACCAGGGGTCTTGGGAGACATCCCTTGCCCCCGCCAGGAGGACGAAGTCCTCATCTGTGAGGAGGGCCGACTGCCATTACGGACAGCCAGCCCTTCAGTTTACTTTCTGTTTTGTCTCCGTGGCCGCATTGGAACGTTTGTCTGTGTTACTGTGTCCTTGTTAATCGTCATAACTGTCTGTGCCTTGGTGTGGACTGGGGACATAAGGGGCAGACACAAACCACCCCCCTGTCTCTTATGCTCTCCCACTTCTCGGACAGTAGGGAAAGAGGTCATAATCTGAACACAGACATACGGAGAGGGAAATTTCAAACTTACTGCATGTCAGAATGGCCAACCTTTGATGTGGGATGGCCCCGAGAAGGAACTTTCCACCTATAGGTTAAGGCTGTGATCTTCAGGAATAAACCAGACAGCCACCCTGACCAGGTGCCCTACATCCTGGTCTGGCAGGACATGATCGAGAATCCCCCTCCTTGGCTAAAACCATTTTTACCCCCCAAAGCAGGACCTACCAAGATTCTAGCCCCGCGAAAGGCAAGGCCGAGAAGGAGACTGACTCTAAGACCAAAACGCCCCTTTATCCGGTCTTGCAGGATTCCTCTCCAGAGGACCTGATTCCCTCGCTGCCCTACCAGGCACCCCCTCCCCCTTCCGCCCCTCCATTGGAGGCACCAGGGGCTGCAGAAGGGGCTCCACCCCTCCCTGACGAGGGAGTTCCTGTGCGCTGGCCAGTGGCAGAGACACACCAACAGAGCCACTGGGTGGCCCCACCTCCAAATGTGGGGCCGGCCAACTCCACTGCCCTTCCCCTCCGCGCCATGGGGCCTCCCGTGGAGAATAGAGAACAACCAATGTTATATTGGCCATTCTCCACCAGTGATTTATATAATTGGAGAACCCATAATGCAAGGTTCTCTGATAACCCGAAAGATCTAATCGGGCTTTTAGATACTGTTCTCTTTACCCACCAGCCTACTTGAGATGACTGCCAACAGCTCTTCCAGGTTCTCTTCACCACCGAAGAGAGAGAACGAATTCAGGTGGAAGCCCGGAAGTCTGTCCTGGGAGAGGACAGACAGCTGACTCAAAACCCAGACCTCAGAAACGCTGCCTTCCCCTTATCCCACCCTACCTGGGACTACAACTCGGCTGAAGGTAAGGAGAGACTCTGGGTCTACCGCTAGACTCTAATGGCAGGTTTCAAGGCTGCTCCGCACAAGCCTAACAATCTGGCCAAGGTATATGATGTGAGAAGGTAAGGATAAGAGTCCAGCAGTCTTCTTAGAGTCATAGAGGCTTTTAGTCAGTACACCCCTATGAACCCAGAAGCCCCAGAAACAAAGCCTGAAATTATCATGGCTTTTGTTAACCAGGTTGCTCCAGACATCAAAAGAAAATTGCAAAGAGTAGAGAGACTAGGAGAGAAGAGCTTGCAGGACTTAGTAATAGTAGCAGAAAGAGTTTATAATAGAGAAAGTCCAGAAGAACAACAAACTAAACTAAGCGACCGGCAGACCCAAAACCTGGCCAAGATACTGCTGGCCACAACCATGGATGACCCACAGGAAAAACAGAGGCACCTCAAGAAGCTGGCTTCAGGGACAGGTAAGGAGGATGGCCCTGGTCCCCATTAGGAGTGCCCTAAACTGAACAAAAACCGATGTGCTTATTGCAAAGAAGAGGGCCACTGGGTGAAAGACTGCCCTAACAAAAGACCTAAGGCCCCTGCTAAGATCTTGGAAATGGAGGACCTGGATGACTAGGGGAGTCGGAGTTTGGCACCCCTCCCTGAGCCCAGGGTAACTCTCAGAGTGGAGGGGCAACCCGTTGAATTCCTAGTGGACACTGGGGCACTACACTCGATTTTATTACAACCCCAAGAGAAATTGGCAAGCAAGACTTCATTGGGTGCAAGGGGCCACGGGCAAAAAATAGTACTCATGGACTACCCGAAGAACTGTGGATCTTGGCATGGGCCAGGTATCCCACTCCTTCATGGTTATCCCTGAGTGTCCCTACCCATTGTTAGGTTGGGACTTGCTCACCAAGATGGGGGCACAAATTCACTTCCACCCCGAAGGGGCAAAAATCCTAAACAAGGAGGGGCATCCGATTCAGTTGCTTGTCCTAGGTCTAGAGGACAAATATCATCTCCACCAAACGCCCTCAGCCCCAATGACTGACATTGACCGTTGGCTGCAGGAATTTCCCCAAGCATGGGCAGAAACTGGGGGAATTGGGCTGGCCCGGCACCGACTGGCCATATACATAGAACTAAAGACGGGGGCAGACCCTGTCAGGGTCCGCCAATACCCCATGCCTCCTGTTCATGCTACGAGCGGGAATCACAACCCACATACGGCAACTACTGGACTCGGACAGTAGTCTTCTACTGTCTGAGAGGCCTTGCCAATCGGCATGGAACACTCCCTTGCTGCCGGTGCGGAAACCGCACTCTAACGATTAAGTCAACCGGCAAGTAGAGGATATGCACCCTACGGTCCCAAACCCATACACCCTCCTCTCCACCTTGCCTCCAGACAAAACTTGGTATATGGTATTAGATTTAAAAGATGCCTTTTTCAGCCTGCCTTTAGCACCCAAGAGCCAAGACCTTTTCGCCTTTGAATGGACGGACCTTAAGAAAGGCATCACTAGCCAGCTCACCTGGACTCGACTACCACAATGATTCAAAAATTCACTAACCATCTTCAATGAGGCCTTACACGAAGACTTGGGTGAGTTCCGTTCCGAGCACCCTCATTTGACCTTATTGCAATATGTGGATGATATCCTGTTGGTGGCGGAGGACCAGGACACTTGCCTGTGAGGCAGCAAGGACTTATTCCAGACAATAGCAGCTCTAGGATACCGGGCCTCAGCTAAAAAAAGCCCAGATCTGCAGAGCAGAGGTGAGCTACCTAGGGTACAAATTAAAGGATGGACAGAGATGGTTGATGGATGCGTGGAAGGAAACCATCCTAATGATCCCACAGCTGCAAACCATCCTCCAGGTATGTGAGTTCCTGGGGTCAGCAGGGTTCTGTTGATTATGGATTCCAGGTTTTGCCAAGATGGCCAGACCCCTCTATGAGGCTACCAGGCACCAGCAAAATTTTGAATGGACAGAGGCCATGAACACAGCCTTTAATGACCTTAAACAGGCCTTGCTGTCTTCCCCGGCTCTCGGGTTACCCGACCTAACCAAGCCCTTCTACCTGTATGTGGATGAGAAAGACAAGGTGGCAAAAGGGGTCCTTGTCCAGTACATAGGTCCCTGGAAGAGACCCATAGCCTATCTTTCCAAAAAGCTGGACATGGTGGCTGCTGGGTGGCCCCCATGCTTAAACATTATTGCTGTGGTGGCCACTATGGTCAAGGACGCAGACAAGCTGACCATGGGGCAAGAACTGTATGTTACCACCCCACATGCTATTGAAGGGGTACTCAAACAGCCCCCAGACCGCTGGATCAGCAATGCTCATCTGACCCATTATCAGAGCCTACTGCTAAACCCCACCAGAATTTTATTCAAGCCACCGACAACCCTGAATCCGACAACGCTACTCCCTAACCCAGAGTGAGACCCCCTTCTGCATGACTGTCAAGAAATTTTGGCACAGGTGCACGGAATCAGAGCTGATCTCCAGGACCAGCCACTGCCGAACATGGATGCCACCTGGTATATGGATGGC